AGCGGGCGCCTGTAGTCCCAGCTACTCGGGAGGTTGAGGCAGGAGAATGGCGTGAACCTGGGAGGTGGAGCTTGCAATGAGCCGAGATTGCACCACTGCACTCCAGCCTGGGCGACAGAGCAAGACTCTGTCTCAAAAAAAAAAAAAATTCAATTATCATATAAGGCAGATAGTGTTATTATCATCTCTTTTTCAGGTGAGAAAACTGATGCTTGGAGATGTGATCACTGCCCAGGGTCACAGAATGACAACATGCATGCATATGGAACTTGCTGCATGCCAGCACCATGTGAGTACAACTCATTTAATCCTTAGAACAACCAGATGGAGTAGTTAACCCCATTTTACGGAAGGCAAAAGCAGGCACAGCAGTTAAGTCATGTGCTCAAGGTCACACCGGTGTCATAGTAATGAGGGAAGGAGCTGGGATTCACACTTAGGCCCTTTGGCACCGGAGTCCCACACCTGACCACCACTCTAGGCTGATCTCCAGTGAGCAGGCCTTACAGATCTCTCCAGTCTTGCCATTCTTCAGAGGGGGAAACTGAGGCTCAGTGAAGACCTTGGCCAAGGTGACACAACGTAATGAGGGAGTTTGGACTGGAGTCTGCTTCTTCAGATTCCATGTGCCTTACCATGTGCCCCTGCCTGAGGCCTTCTTGACTCCCAGCCCACCTGTCTCCTCCCATCCCCTGAACTGCACTGAGCTTCTGGTCTGCAGCCCTCTGGTAGAACCTATGGTTTTGCCTTGGGCCTCCTGTTTCTGTGCGGCCTTCTTGCTTTTCTTTGAGCAGACTTTTAAATCTCATTCTCCTTTTCTGCCTGCTTCCTAATGGTCCACTGAGTGTCTTAGGCTGGGCTGAATCCTGGGGTTGAGAAATGGGCACAGCCCTGACCTTAGGAGCTGGATGGCTAGGGCCCTCAGCATGTGTTACATCAGATCTCACCAGGCTTGGCCGGGTGTGGTGGCTCACGCCTGTAATCCTAGCACTTTGGGAGGCTGAGGTGGGCAGATCACCTGAGGTCAGGAGTTTGAGACCAGCCTGGCCAACATGGT